GAGAGAGAGAGAGAGACCCTTTCTCCTATGGCTAAAGAAAGTATGGACAATGAGAAGACCTTTTGCCCTATGGCTAAGTTCCCATCCATTAGAATCTTGATAGACATAGATGCCCATTTCGACTTCGAGCTCCATCAGATGGACGTGAAACAACCTTTCTAAAAGCAAAGCTAAAAGAAATATACATGAAACAACATGACTTGTTTCATAAAGAAGGGAAAGGAAAACCTTGTATGTAAACCCCATAAGTCTCTTTATAGCCTAAAAGCAAGCATCGCGACGATGGTATATAAAATTCCAAGAGACCTTGGCAAAGGTCGGTTTTGTTGCAAACCACGAGGATTATTGTATGTTAAGGTCAATGAGAGTGATGTCGTGTTTTTTTCTATATATGTGGATGATATGCTGATTGACAAAAGTTCAATGGCCCTCATCGTAGAAACAAAGGCCTGTCACACCATCACGATATGAGTGATATTGGAGAGGCTTCATATGCCTTGGGCATCTAAATTACAAAAAATAAAACAAATCTAAATACGCTTATCCCAGGCAACTTATTGTAAGAAAATTTTGGAGAGATTTGAAATGGAAGAATGTAGGCAAATTAACCCCCATGGCTAAGAAGACCAAGTTCAGCCTAGCCATGCATCCCAAGGATTCATATGAAAATGAAGCCATGTAGACAATACCATACCAGAGTACACTTGGGTCACACTTATGTATACGCCATATAGGGGATGGGACCAGATTTGTCTTTTGCCATGAGTATGATTAGTAGGTTTCAAAGTAATCCAAGCATGGAGAAATGGAAGGCTATTTGAAAGAGTTTTGAGATATTTAAAGGGAACTGGTAATCTTGCACTTATGGAGGAGGCTCGGACGCGAACTATCGCGACGATCTAGATGAATTGAAGTCCACATCTAGATGCATATTTATACTCATCGATGGAGTAGTTTCTTAGTGCTCGAAGAAACAGGACAATTTCTTAGTGCTTGAAGAAACAGGAAGTCGTTGTGCTATCCACCATGAAGTTTTATCTAGTAGCAAAAGAATCCTAATGATAAAAGGAGTTCCTGAATCAGTTGAGATTCGACCCCATGAAATGCGAGTGCGTAAAGATCTTCTGCAATAACATGGTAGCGCTTTGTGTGGCTCAAGAGCACCATGATTTCCTAAGAGGTCAAAGCAATGGGAGACAACTACTACATATGGAACGAGATCCGAGTAGGACATAATGAGGTGGCATATCTTCCCACAAAGGCTATCTTAGCTTATCCATTGACAAAAGGTTTGTTCGCTAAGCATGTACTTGGGATTGGCTTGAAAGATCGTCAGGGAAATTGTACGGTGTTCAAAGGCCAAGTTGGAAAGGTTGGGGTTTGCAGCCTTAAGGCCATGAGAGCATGTAAAACATTCGTTATCATAATGGAAATGTACCCCAGTGGGACCGTGGTCCATGTCGGACCAGTGTGGTGTTTTATGATTTGTTGTTTGGCTTACCTGGGTTGTGTGGTCTAGACCAGGAATTAAGTCCAAACCTTATGCCTGGGTATTAGGGGTGGCAATGGACCTGGACCCGACTCGGGACCCACCGGGTATACCCAACACGAGTCCGGGTATGGGTCCAACATTTGAACCCTACATGTCGGGTCCACGTTCAAAACCTGGACCTGGACACTATTCGGGTCTGGGTCAGGTTGGACCCGACTTGTACTTGTAAACCGTTGGAGATAAAATACTTACAAACCCTATTCATTTGGGTGTATTAAGGATCGCATATAATAAGAACTTGTAGTCATCTTTAGCTATTAAACGACAAATTCGACGGCTTGAAATCAAATGGCGGTTGATTGTGACCTTGTTGCCAATAATATGGGGATATGATGATAAAAGAAAGGGCAAAAAAGAAAACGGAAGCTCATAGTGAGGTTGGCAATGGACTCAACCAGACTCGGGAACCGACGGGATAGACCCGGGACCCGACGGGTCGGGTCCGAGTCCAAAACCTGGACCCAAATAGTATTCGGGTCCGGGTCCAACTGGACTCGACCCGTTCTAGGCATATGGCACTGCTGTAGATGGCTTCATAATAGGGTCATCCCTAATTGAGGTAGGAGCGATGCCCATGGATGTTTGTGAGCCAAGAAACGGGTGTTCTCTTGCATGCAACTACAGGCTTGCAAGGAAATCGCCAAATCCTCAACAACTACTGCATGACATGTACACATGATAGCCTCATTTTACGAAGCAACCCAAGAGGGAATGCGTGCATGTGTTGAAGAAAGCCATCCCTGCACTATTGCGATTTTGTGCATTCATCCTTATGGATATAACGGGTCCTTTGGGGTAAACTTGTAATCAACACACTCGATTCATATACCTAGTATTTATTGGCCAACTTTGATGAGCCAATCATGAACTCTATGAGCTACTATGGGTCATGAATTCTATTGGGTTGGTTTGAGAGGATAGTTTGAGGGTCCCAAAATTTTAGCATAGGTGGAGTGCCTTAGAGAGCGCACATTCCTAATCCTATGGACCCATACTCTTATGAAAATATTCGTTTATGTTTTGGGAATTATGAGACACTAAAAATAAATTTTCCAAATTTCATTTATGCCCTATGAATTTTTAATTCATTTTAAATAATTTTCAGCAATTAAAAATTCATTAATTATTAAATTCATTTATGCTATTTTGTGGCTTTTACAAGTTCTTTTGGGCATGGAGAAAAATATGGGAGCCACGAGGGGGGCCAATGGCCATGGCTCCACATGTGGATGACTCCCCCTTGTGTGGGACATGTGGCCCACATCGCACCCTACTCCGTATACCCTACCCCCCTCTCTATCCCCTAAATGGATAAGTTTAGTAAAGGAGAGAGAGGGATTTAAGGGATAGGGACTCCTACTTGTGCTTGGATAATTATGTTTTGAGAAAATTAAGAGGTAATGTTTCTCTTTAGGATAAGGGACTTCTTAAAAATTAAATCTAGAAAAATAAAAAGTGTTTCTAGAAGAATTAAAAGTCCTTATCCTAATGGGATTTGGATACTTTTAATTACTAGAAAAATTAAAAGTCCTTACCAAAGTGTACAAGGGAGTGCTAACTAGTGTGCAAATAACTAGTGGAGAGACAAGTGAGTTTTCAATGACAACAGGCCTACATCCGGGGATCATCGTTGAGCTCAAAACTCTTTGTTTTAGTTATGGACGAGTTAACTAGGAATCTTAACATGAGGTACCACGGTGTATGTTGTTTGCAGATGACATAGTTTTGATCGATGAGAATAGAAGCAAGTCAATGCAAAGTTAGAACTTTTGAGGGATGCTCTAGAATCTAAAGGCTTTAAAATTAGCTAGACCAAGACAAAGTATATGTAAAGCAAGTTCAGTAATAACAGGAGTAGAAATGAGGAAGTAGTAAAGATCGATGGCCAAGAAATACCTAAAAGAGAGTACTTTCTATATCTTGGATCAATAATCCAGAAAAATTGAGATTGAGGAAGATTTCACGAATAGAGTTACAACTGAGTAGACAAAGTATAGATGTGCAACTAGAGTTTTATGTGATTGCCGCATACTAATGAAGCTTAAGGGGAAGTTCTATAGAATAGTTGTGAGACTAGCTTTGCTTTATGGACTGAATGTTGTAAGAAATAACATACCAATAGGTTGAGTGTTGCCGATAAAAGAATGTTGAGATGGATGAGTGACAAGACAAGAAATGATGGAATTTGAAAAGAATTCATTCGAGAGAACTTAAGTGTGGCTCCAATAGGTTACAAGATGAGGGAAAGTAGACTTAGGAGAGCTTGCCATTTGCAGTACAAACCCAATACAACATAGGTTAGGAAGTGGGATTTGGTTCAAGGGGAAGGCTCTAAAAGGGCGAGGGGAAAGCTCGAAAGGACATGAATGGAATTATATATAGGGTCTTATGTTCTTATTAAGGGTATGGCCCTTGATAGAGCAGAATGACAGAACAAGATACGTGTAGCCGACCCTAAATAGTTGGGATAAGGCTATGATGATGATCCTAATGGGAGTTGGATAAGCCCAATCCTGTTGGGATTAGATGAGGATAAGGGTCAAAGATCTAAGGGGCAATGCTTCTAAGATTGATCCCTTAATCATGATGGCTAATCTAAGGATTTGATGGCTCATATTAAATATCTCTTCACCCCACAAATTACCATGGACTCTTTGGTCAAAAATTATAATCATATTACCTGGCCTAGAAAGCATTATATATAGGGGGTCATCCTCCCATCATGCCCATCACTAGATTCTAGTGCCTCTCTCTCCTCCACAGATCATTACTCTCTCTCCCTCTCTACCTATCTAGGTTGGCACCACTAGGAGGCCTCTACTAGGAGGCACGCCCTAGCCCATAGGAGAAGGGGAGGTGCCACTATAAGCCCATGGTCTGACCCAGGGTTGGCACACCCCACTTTAAATAGGGTTGAAAAGAAACCCTAATTGTTTTCAGAAGGGTTGAAAAGGAACCTAGTTCTCTCTTGGTTGTGTTCTCATATCACAGTTGGTCATAACTTGGTTCCTTTCTTGTAGTGGATTCAACAAAGACCATCGGTTTGGCAGTCCAAAGTGGGTGTACTTAAGTCTTGTGGAGGTGATCCTAGGCTTTGTTCTATAAGTGGCTCCCCAGTTCTTGATTCTTATTGCTTTATTGTAAATTCTTTTTTTCTTTATGAATAAAGTTTATGTTAAGGCAATAAGAGTGTGATCCTTAGATTGTAGTAGGATTTATTTTCACAATTTTCCATTGTAATTGACACTTGTAAGAAGAATTTGGAAGTATAATAAACAAAAAAGTGAAATATTTTTAGATTTATACACCGTGCAATTCTACATAGCCACTCTTTCAAAGATAAAGCCAAAGACACGCGAACCCAAGAATGACATGAAGGCATGGGAATAAAAATGATACGCCACATCCATCCTCAAATGGCCTGAATCTCTGGGATGGATGCTAAGATATCAGGGGTTCATTATATGCATCAGCTGGATCACTAATGCAGGTGGTCCACCATCAGCATTAGCAGGAGCACTTATATTCGTGGCCTACCATCAGCATGAGCCGTACAACTTATACCAGTGTCCACCATCAATATCGACAAGACAAATCATATTAGTAGTCCACCATAAGCATCTGATGGACTACTCATATTAGTGATCCACCATCAACACATCTGCTGGACCACTTATACTAGTGGTCCACCATTAGCCTCAGGCGGATCCCTCATACTGGTGGTCCAACATTAGTATCAGCATTACCACTCAAACTGGTGGTCCACCATCGTGCATCAGCAGAACCACTCATACTGGTCATCCACCACCAGTATCTATTGGACTACTCACACTAGTGATGTATCATAGGCATATGTAAGACTACTTATACTGGTGGTCCATCATCTGCATCAGCCAAACCACCTGATATCCATGTAACCATTTCAGACCAACTAATGATCTCAGAATGGGATGAAAACTCTGGGTACCATCAAAATCGGATCAACTGACCGCCCAAAAATCAACACTACCGATGAATTGAATGTCTAGTCAAAGGCCTCAAAATGGGGTGAAAAGTGCTAGATGTTTACATTCCCAAATGATCCCAAACTTTAAGGTCATTTGGATCTCATTTAACCTACTTTTCGAGGGTTTAATGTTGAACCACGAAGTTTGCTGACTGAAATCTAGGGTCTAGGAGATGAAACGGGTTTTTGGGTTGAAATGGGTCTTCGATCGATAAAAAATATAACAATTCCGGACTTTGATGGAAATTGGAAGAATTTTAATCTAGAGGGTTCCAAAGCTTCCCTCCAAATTTCAGGTCATTTGGACAGCATTTGACCCAACTTTAGAGGAAATAAAGTTAAAAAAGGGATCTGTGAATAGTGCAGTGCCAGCCGATTGGCCTCTTTAGTAGTGATGCCACAGTCATTTGACAAACGTCTTGACCTGCACACAGGCTGGATGAGCATTGATGCTCCTTTTGGCCATATCTCACTCTCATCCAGGCTTCTAGTGAGCTCAAATTTGAGGCAAAATGAAACTAACTCAATTGTCAAAATCATCACCTTGGTTTGGGCAATAAATCCCAAGCTTTTGAAGCGAATTGAGCATGAACTTGAGGTTTGTTTGAAACTGCTGCCTGCATTAGATTGCATGACCACCGAGGCTTGTTTCTTCAATCTCTCCCTCCTCCATGGGTCCTTTTTATGAAACTTGAACCAAAATGACCTTAACTTGATACCCTACAAATCAAAATAGGGGTTGAAATTCTCAAGTTCCAATCAATATACTGTACAGAAACAGATATGAGCAGCGGCCATCATTGATCCATAAATCCTTCATCTTAAGGTGTTTTGCTTGGGAATTAAGTCAGAAAGACTCCCAACTCAATGCTTTATCAATCCATGGAAGCAAAATTGGCAAAAAGCCACTCAAAATACATTAAACTGGCTCTTGAAATTGGCTGAAATGTAAATGGGCGTATTACCCCACCGATGGATTCAACCACCTTATGGTTCCATACTAAATTGCTCCTCATTTAACTTGAGCAGCAAGAAAACCTAACTCTTTCATGCCGATAAATACCCCATTCTATAGGCCATTTGAAGGACTTCTGGCCAACTCAAGAGGCTTCAGAGAGAGGAGAGCATTGGACGAGAAGGGAATCTCTGCCTAACTTGAAAGTAGAGCAAGAAAGCTTGAGAAATCAAGAAATTTAAAAGAACTATCTGAGGAAACTGAAGGATCAAGGCTGAGATTACTCACCTTGTCAGTAAAACATTTGGGTCATCTTCAGCCTGCAAAGAAGAAGACATTGTCCCCCTCTTGGACTGATATATCTTTGCTGTAATTTTTCTTTGAATTCTTTATGGTGTATCAAAGAACATCTATCAAGGGTGTTCTACTCACTCAAAAGCATGTAGATGTAAATTAATGGATTGCTTATAAAAAACCTGGAACTCCTTCCCAAACTCATTGATCTACAGTTATAAATATATTTTTCAGAGAATTTGGTGGTGAATCCGTGTTTTCTCAGGTTTATATACAGAATGAAGTCAAAATCTTTCAAAAACAAACACACACACACATACACATACTTGCACAGATTTCCTCCACATAATTGTGTGCTTCTTGCCACAGTTCTTAGGTTTTAAAGTAACTAGCTAGTTCAGCAATAGTAGGAAAGGTCTAGTAAGAGTCAACTAATGGAATGAAGACCAGCTATGTTCAAGTACCAGGTGGACTCTATCGAGTACTCCCCTAAGGTCCCCACTAGTGTGCCATTTGTGCAATGATGGATATTCATGGGCTCATGAATCAGAATGGATTCAAGAACTTTACAGGATCAGCATGGTGATTTCAGATGATCTGAACATAAAAGAAAGCATCAAATTCTAAATAACTAAAAATGAACTTCCATTCTAATAAATGATAAGAAATGCAAACATTTCTTACAAGAAATGCATCTATTTATATAACTAAAAAATGCATTATACAATAATCATCCATTCTTTCCATTTACTAACAGATCAAATTATAACACTAGCAAGAAAAAAAGACACAAATAAAAATATTAGGAATGAAGATGAAAACCCAAAGAGCAGATACCAATATCACAAAGTGGACTTACCTGGCACCTAAGACAAATATACCATTGCTTTTGATTAATCCACCATCTAGAGAGATTGCACCTTCACTTATGCAAGGAAGAGCACACCTCATCTCATTGCTGGTTCGATACACTTGCAACCGGGAAAAGAGACAATAAAACAGAGTTTCTCGCAAGCCATGTCCACTTGCCGTGACACAAGACAAGTTCTTACTTTCAATGGCAATCATATTGACCGCGAAGCCAATGAAGCCAGATGGGCACTCTCCAGTTTGGAGTCTGGGCATCACCAAATCAAGCTTCTTCTGTGGATCCCCAGCTATGGTGCCTCCATGGTATGGTCTGTCATAAAACTAGATTTAGCATGAGCTTTGCCTCTAGGGATTCTTATTTTAGATTTGGCATGCGCACACAAATGCACAACCACCCACCGGCTCACCCGCCGAACGCATGTGAGTACACACACATATACCTACACCCACACACATGCATGCCCACGGATACACACATACACACACACATATATGGGGTTTGCTTACTCTTTCAACAATAGCTTTACAACACACACACACACAGCGCACACATATGGTGTGTGCTTACTCTTTCAACAATAGCTATACAGCATAGTCCTTTTCCTCTTGTGGATGTAAAACACTGAATCCACTATTGCAAATCAATATTGGGTGACAATAGGCAAATGACAAAAATAATACATAAACTTACTACTTTTCAAGTAAAGCATTTTTTCTTGTAAATTACCACACCCTTTTCTTAAAAAATACCCACAACCTCCATTACATCATTTTTTAATTGGGATAGGCTATACTCGCCAAGGATCATGCTACCTTTAGGGCTGGAAAAGTATTTCGCATATCAGCATACTAATGTGCCCTCCCTGGTTTTCACTTGATTTAGGACTCAACAAGTGATGGAAAACTGGCTAGCCCAACTCAACCTCAACTATGTTATTCGTGCTCAGCAGGCTGCCGAGCCCAGAACCTCCTACTCGCCTAGGAGGAATGCTCTTAGTGAACTTTGGCAAGTTGTCAGAAACCAGGCGAGTTTCTAATAGACTTGCCAAGTCTGAAAAAAATTGACAAAATGAATAGGAAGAACACTCCCCACCCCCCCTCCCCAGGGTTGAGGGAACTGAACCCCTTTTTTCTCATTTTCTCCTCAACCATGCTTCAATTCCGAATTTTGGGTTTAGGGTCATTCTTACATTCTCGAGCTACTGAAAATATTATAGATTCAAGAGAAACAAAACAAATTTCTCGGATTTGTGAAACTGTGATCTTCAAACAAGGGTTTGGCCGAAGTGTTAGAATACTTGAGGTCTCTTCACAACCATATATTGATCATGGTTAAGACCATAGTTACTAGGAGCAAGGTCAGATCCAAGATCAGGATCAGGACTGCGGGTTGAGAGATGCACACAGAGTCAAGGGATAGGGATTGAGATCCGTACACCGTGAGGTAAAGGGATCACGATCCCAATATAGAGTGTAATCCAAATTTTTCTAGGAATGAATAATAGTCTATATGGGATTGAAGTCTGACCCGCTTAGAATCAAGGCTCCCCAAGAGCACTTAACTAGGGGTACTCTAGCTTGGGAACAAAGTCTATTAAACATTATGATAATATTTTCCTTGAATTAAAAAACCTGAGTATCATCAAATACAAACAATCCCGCTTTTGAATATTTTAAAATTTGTTGTTATCATTGGAGTGGGTTTCATAAGCAAGAAGTGCAACCATAAACCCAAAATGAGGATTCAAATTTCATTCCTCGGGCATGAAAGAAGCTATAGTCGTTTGATCAAAATGTGGTGTCCTCGTTTTCCCTCGTTTGGATCCTTACTCCTAGATGCGATTGGGCAATGAACATGTTAAATGCTTTCTAGATTCAGAGGAAGAAAAGGGCCAATGGCAAAGGTTAACCGGTAAAGGCCTATGCAATGGTGAATATAGTCAAAGAGAGAGCATTTGATGTAGGAAAAGTTGTGGGAACAGTAAAATTGGCAAGAAACCAAGCCAAACACAAGTATAACTCAAAGAAACCTAGGGTTTCTTCTCCATACCCCAAGCTAGGGCTCCAAAAGCCGAAGTTTTTTTCTCTTTCAATTTTTAAAATCATTTGGAATAACCTCCTCCTCCAGGGCCCCACACAGCTCTTATATATTATAATTTAATGTTCCAAGTACAAAAAGTGTCCAAATAGATAATACATTGACCCTTATACCCTAACTTAACTTAAAATTCATACTGATATTTTTACTCCTATGAACAATACCCATAAACAATACTCGTGAACAATACTTATGAATAGTACTCATGCAATATAAAAAAAAAAAACCTAAAATCCCTAAAAAATTAAGGCGCCCTAGAAATAAAGCCCAAAACTAAAACTATAATATACATCCTTTGAAATTGAATAAAAAAATAAAATAAGAACAATTTTCCCTCCATCATTGTTTGATGCAAGAGAATTTGAGAGAACATGGAAATCAATAAGAAACGAAGCCACACACAACAATAATTCAAAGAAACCTAGGGTTCCTTCTCCACACCCCAAGCTAGCTTTTCTCTCTTTCAATTTTTAAAAATGATATGGAATAAACCCTTCCAGGCCCCACCCACCTCTTATATATTATAATTTAATGTTACAAATAATACATTGACCCATATATCCTAACTTAACTTAAAATTCATAATGACAGTTTTACCCCTATGAACAGTACTCGTGAACAATACTTGTGAATAGTTCTCATGAAATAAATAAATAAAAATACAAAAACCCTAGAATCCCCAAAAAATTAAAGAGCCCTAGAAATAAACCCTAACACTAAAACTATAATATATATCATTTGAAATTGAATAAAAAAAAAACTATAATATATATCATTTGAAATTGAATAAAAAAAAAAGAATAATTTTGCCCTCCATTAGCATTAGAGACAAAGATCACTTGTATAAAGCATATAGAGCTTCCATAAGTGAAAATGAAATTGAAATTGAAATTTAGTGTACAAGGAAGGGGTATGGGGGGGTGAGGGGCGGAGGGGCGGAGGGGGAAGAGAGAGAGAGAGAGAGAGAGAGAGAGAGAGAGAAGAGAGAAGAGAGATAGA